CCAGTTCATTGTCACTCGTGTCAGGGGGCGGGGGGCAGGAGGGATTCAGGAGTCTTCAGCAGAGGGGGCAGGACCGGGGTGGGTGCCGGGGCCTAGTCCACCAGAGGAACGTCACCATCACTGAGGCTGCGTGGAGGACCTAGGGATGGCAGTGCGGGCTGCCTGGGGCCCTGGGTGGCAGGGGGCAGGCACCCAGCCCTCGAGCTCCCAGAGCGCCAGGACCCCATGGCCCAACCCAGCCCTGCTTTTCTTGGTGGCCACTTGGCGTATCCAGCAGGCTAGATCGTGTGCCTTTCCCTGCACCCCTACCTTCACCTGCCGCTTGGAAGGTCAGCCCAGCAGCTGCGGCTCTCAGGCCCACCTGCACTGCATGGGCTGCTCAGCCCCGGGGTGCACCGGTCGAGAAATCGGCAGCCTGCAGCTACTGCTGGGTACCGCTCACCGCCTCCTGTGAGCGTGCCTGGGGGAGGTGCCCAGGCAGGGTGGGCTGGGGCACCGGGGTCTGGTTCCTTGCCCACTCCGGATCCGGGCCCATCGTGGGCTGGATTTGTCCCTCTTGACTTTGACATGTCTGTCCTACACTGTCAGATCGTGTCATGGCAAAATAAGAACCACAGTGCCTTTTGTGTCCATAGAAATGGCAATATAGGAGTAAAAACATGTTAAAGTGCTCATGTGATTTTAAACTATGACAGCATTGACGACAAGGAATTCCATTCTGGATAAACGCTTAATTCCTTTCTGTAACAAGCCCTGATAATTGTGTGAAGGGATTTAATCATGATGGAATGTTTTAAAGCCTACTTATCCTTCCCCATTCCCCCTTTTCTTTGGGTGGATGTAGCCTTTGCACCAACCCCACAGGGACATAAAAAAGCATTCTACAAAAGTTGAACATGTAAAAGCCAGCCATAGATACCAAGCGGAACTTAATATTTCTACACAATTTCTCCAGTCTTTTGCATTATCTCTGGATGAAAATTTTCCCAATCTGGCCTCATTGTATGTTTTTCCATCTTCCCATTAAGTTGTTTGTCTTTTTTCTAGTGTGGCCAGAACAATCACAATAAGGAAAGATTTTGGTTTGGCTATGACTTATGGCCATGAACTAGGACGGGGGTAGGCAACCTTGGCTCTTTTACGACTCGTGGACTTCAACTCCCAGAATTCCTGAGCCAGCATGGCTCAGCTTGGAAACCTCTCCCTTTCCCCTCAGCATGGCTGGCTCAGGAATTCTGGGAGTTGAAGTCCACGAGTCACAAAAGAGCCAAGGTTGCCTACCCCTGTCCTAGGACATTGCTTGGTTTACAGCCCAAGGCAGAACTTCAGCAGCCTATTCATCTCCTCAACCTTTCAGTCAACTCTTAGCAGAGAAAAGGGTATTACAGCCAAGGTTGTGTAGCCCTCTTCCTTCCAATTCCAACTGCTTTGTCGCTGGCATCACTGTTTTTGTTAGGGACTGACAACGGCTTGTATTGTGCTCTCTGGAGGATTTTGTATACCTTGGCAAATGTCCAGATCTGATAGTGAAATAGGACGGCTTTGTAGAGCATATTTGGATGGATCAGGAAGAGATTAGAAACGAAAACCTAGCCTCTAGTTTCTTTTCATTTTCCTCTTTGCAATAATTCCCCCAGTATTGCCTCCTTCCGTGGCATCAGGGTCAAAGGTATAATATAGTCCATTTCCTGCTGCGTGGGAAGTTTCAACATCCTGTGTTCACAGTTGCCTGGCGCTAATCAGTGTCAGCCTTGGAAATTACCTTGTTTTCATGGACTTTGAGTGATTACAAATGAAACTCTGCAAGGCCTGGGCCACTGGATTATATATTTGAAATGCTTTTCTTCTGCCCTGCGGTTCCCTTTGCTTCAGACGCTTGACAACTGACTCACATTTATGACGATTGCAGTGTCCCGGGGCCATGTGATCACTGTTTGTAACCTTGTGACAAAGTCATTAGGGAAGGCAGATTCACTTAACGTTCGTGTTACTGACTTAACAACTGTGGCAAAAAGGTCATAAAATGAGACAAAAGTCACTTAACAGATGTCTCGCCTAGCAACAGAAATTTTGGATTCAATTGTAGTCATAAGTTGAGGACTCCTGCAGTAGCTTCATCTTCATTATATGTATTCAAGCCTAGGCTAGGCATCCATCAGTCAGGGGTGCTTTAACTTTAAATTCCTGCACTAAGCGGGGGGGGGGGGGGTTGGACTTAATGGCCTCTATGGCCCCTTCTCACTTAGATTCTGTATATCTAAAACATTCTTGAAGTGGGTTAATGGCTACGAGGAAGGAGAAATTACTTTTGCCTTGAAAAGCAGCCCCGCTTTATGAAACCCAAAAGCACTTTAATTAAATTCCAACCTGCTTGAATACCTGCTAAAACCTGTTGGAGCTTGCCAATAAGAAAAAAGATTGTTTACTAAACAGGGACTCTAATTAAAATAGCTGTTCTCTGTTAATAATAAAGAATAGTTTTGCAAAAAGAAAAAAACAAAAGTCCATTTAATTACCGGTCAGCCTCATGGTAAACAATCCATTTTTAATCCATTCAGCCAAATCTTCATTGAACGGTGATCTTAATATAAGAAATTAAAAAAGCGGTCCATTTAATTGAATTGTTTTATTTTACTTTTTTTTATTTTATTTATTATGACTCCCATCTCCCCTGCAAGGTGACTCTGGGCAGCTTGCAAGTTACAAAACAAGTAAAAATAATGAAAGCATGTTAACACGTTAAAATTATACAGATTGAATGTTGAAAACTGTACTAAAACCAAAACTAAGAGAGCTAAGAGACGGACGGGACAGGGATGAGGTCCTCTTACCCCATCAGCCACCTCCAGCAGTGAGCGCCCTCCTTGGGGACCCAGGCCAACAGCAAAGCCAGGTTTTGGTACCCTTCTGGAAGGCCAGAAGGGGATGGGCAGTTCTCACCTCCTGTGGGTAGAATGTTCCAGAGGGCCACAGCCTAAAAGGCTCTTCTCCTTGAACCCCCCTGCTGGAATTCCTTAGCACAGTGGTTCTCAACCTTTTTAATGCCGCGACCCCAACCGGTCGTAAGTCGAGGACTAAACCAGTCGTAAGTCGAGGACTAAACCGGTCGTAAGTCGAGGACTACCCAACCGGTCGTAAGTTGAGGACTTTCCCTGCCTGGGAGCGCCGCGCATGCGTGGTTCCGCCCCCTGCGCCGGCCGAGGCGTAGCTGGCAAGCGGCAGAGACGGAGCAGGCCGACCACCAGCTGGCCCAGCCCAAGGGAGGTAAGGCACCCGCCGGAAAAGGNGGAAAAATGGCGGACAAAAAAAATGGCAGACAGCCTTGCTTGGCGACCCCCGTGAAATGGTCGATCGACCCCAAATGGGGTCCCGACCCACAGGTTGAGAACCACTGCCTTAGCAGATGGGATCCATGGTAGGCCTCTTTCACTGGCACGTGGGGCAGGCTTTTGAATTGGGGAGAGACGGTTCCTCAAGATACCCTGGACCCAGGGGTAGGCAACCTTGGCTCTTTTATGACTCGTGGACTTCAACTCCCAGAATTCCTGAGCCAGCATAGCTGGCTCCATGGACCCATGTCATGTAAGCCTTCATTGCTTCAACAGCAATGAAAATAATATTACATTGAGCCATTCTTATTGATTTTTTTTTCTCCTTTGATAAATAACAGGTCACTTTCCACTCTGGACAAAGCAGCCTGTATATAAATAAGTGGGGATCATACTCCCCAAAGAGAGCTCCTTTGCTTCCCATCATTAAACTGGACTCCAGAATACCTGTTCAATTCTCCTTGCTGCACACCTCAGGACTTTGTTAGTAATGGCCTCCCCTTTGCAAAATTGTTCTCCAGGAAGCTAATTTGGCCGCATTTAAAACCAGAGAGTTGAAAAGGCATTTGGAAGCCATCTAATGACATTTTCTGATTTTTTTTCCCCTTCCTCCAGACTGTATTGAAGATGCAGCTTCAAAAAGATATAACTTATCTCTTTGTTTCAGGGTTGTTGTTTTTTTTAAGTGTTATGCCTTTTGTATCATTGTGAAGTTCTGGGAGAAGAACATATAGGGATGGATGGATGGATGGATGGATGGATGGATGGATGGATGGATGGATGGATGGATGGATGGATGAGAGGATGAAGTGCTTTTAGAAATAAATGTAAGATGAATCCCAGAGGAATGGTGAGAAGTCACAAGTTATAGGTCTTAGCACTTGCCTGTATGATAGATAGTCCCCTCTCTTGGTTTGGGGACAAACTAAAGTTTCTCAAGAAATCCTTCATCTCGGGACCAGCAAGGAGGCAGGATAGAATTGGGAAGGGACACTTCAAGAGAAGGAAAGTTTAGATCTTTTTTTAGTATCCTCAGGTGGATTGGCAGACAAAGGCATTCAGCAGGGAAGGGAAAATAGCTTATAAAAGAAAACCTACCAGATAACATGTATAAAACCTATACAATCAGAAAAAGAGCACTTCTTTGCACAGTGAAACTGTCAGGAAGGCTACAAAAAAAAAAAAGATTGGATGAATTTATGAAAGACAGGCCTGTCTGTTCAATCTTGAAGACTCAATATGTTCTGCTGATTGAGGAAGGCCTCCCTCCAAATACCAGGGAACACCAGAGGGAAGATATACAGTATTCATTTCACACCAATGACTCATAGCATCTTCTAATGTCATCCAACCATGGCCGAGCCAAAATAGCAGTAATGAGGACAAGCTTTACATCATCTCAGTGATAGCTGGAAGTACAGAGGTTATAAATCAGCAGCCGGAGAAATGTTCCCTGCCTCAGTTTCCTGCTTAAAAGCATCTATCCCAAGGCCAGGAATGTTTTGTTGGCTTGCTGTGGGCAGCAAAGTTTGAACAAAGGTGGGCCTGGCTATGACCCAGCAGGGCTGGTCTTAGGTTTTGATACTGTGGTTTTGGCATGGGAAAAGTAGCGTCCCCCTGAATCCTTTCCTTTTGCCTCTTTCATTGGAAGTCTTGCTTTGTTTTGTCCAGGTGCTGGGAGAGAATGAGAAGCCTTGGAAAGCAGTATTGGTTGCCTTGACGGAGAAGGATCTCTTGATATTTGAAAGCATGCCACGCATCAAGGAAGCTTGGTTCACTCCACTGCATTCCTATCCTCTCTTAGCTACCAGGTATGTTCTATATCTATCTGTCTGTCTGTCTACCTACCTACCTACCTACCTACCTACCTACCTACATACATACATACATACATACATACATACATACATACATACATATATTACCTTGAGTGGTTTTTTTTATGCACCCTGCACCAGGAAAATTATAAAACTATAAAAAGTTTTAATGGAATAAAATATACCTAGCTTTCGCTGGCCACTGCCAGCATCGTCAGGGTAACCTCCAGAAGGTGGGGAGGCTATTCATAAGCGTTGCGCCCGGCTCCTAGCCCTCGTCACGGGCCCCAGGCGGATTGGCTAGGGTCCGTGACGAGGGCTAGGAGCCGGGCGCAAGGAGCTAGGAGCCGGGCGCAAGGAGCTGGGGCCCGTGACGAGGGCTAGGAGCCGGGCGCAACGAGCGCAATGCTTATGAATAGCCTCACCACCTTCTGGAGGTTACCCTGACGATGCTGGCAGTGGCCAGCGAAAGCTAGGTATATTTTATTCCATTAAAAATATATTCCCATGTTTTTCACCTCCCATTTTAGCCAGAGGGGCTTATGCAGATCTGTAATAAAACAGATTCTCCCCTCTGGCTACAATTAAAAAGGTACAAGACGAAAAATAACTGGTGAGAGAGAGAGAGAGATAAGAAATAACAGACCTTGTGTTTCCATAATAGGAAATAGTGTGGCATTATTTTATTAACGGGTTTCTATGTAGGTAGTCCTCAACTTACGACTGGTTGCTTAGCGGCCATTTCAAAGTTGCAATGGACCCCACAAAAACTATCCCAAAGGTGCTTTTTCCAAAAGGCGACTGGTTTATTGTTTGAAACTGTTTCACTTCTTAGTTGACCAGTTCAGAGACCCCTACAATAAAGCATGGACCGTCAATGGAAGGTTCAGGCATTTGATCAGCTTCTGCTCACCACAGGAGAGAAGTTCTCATGTTACCAGCCAAAGCTGGCCCATGTAGTGATAACCGTTGAGCTGTCACTAGGGAAAACATTTCTCACATAGTTGAGGAGAACAAATGGAGATGAATAACTTGTTGAAGGGCCAGCCTCCCAACATAACATTCTGATGAAACAAGAGTAAGAAACTAATAGCTGCAGGAAAAAAAATTCAGCCATCATGATTTCTGTACATGATTTGGGGCTTAAAACTAACTCATTGGCTTGAAACAGTGGAACCAGCTGAAACTCTGACCCAAATCCTAATGCATGTTTAATTGGACTGCAGTTTTTATTATCTTGGATTCCCCGTGCCTTTTAGACACACTTTGCCTGACTCTGTGTTTGTTTTGTTCTGCAAACCGCATGAGAAACCTGAGCAACTTTGCAACCTCTGAACAGCCCCACAAGCTAGTGAAATGTCTGTGGTATCCAGTTCCCTCTTTCTATAGACAGGAAGGTTATCTTAGGACAACTACTTACAAAAGAACAACTAAGTTGCCACAAGCACACACCTGTCGAAGTCGGAGGGACTGGAAATCTACTTCAGATGCAGTTTCTTCTTTGAAACATTGCCTTGTATCCTCATAACCAGTTACATCAGAAACTCACCAGTCAGCTATTTTAGATACAGGTAATCCTCGACTTAGGATCACAAGTGAGCCCAAAGTTTTTGCTGCTAAACAAGGCGGTTGTTAAGAGAGTTTTGCCCCATTTTACAATCCTTTTTTTTTTTTGCCACAGTTGTGAAGGTTTAACAACTTAACAACTGCAATTGTTAAGTGAATCATGCAGTCATTAAACAAATCTGGCTTCTCCCATTGACTTTGCTTGTTGGAAACCAGCTGGGAAGGTTACAAATGGTGATCACATGACCATGTGCAACTGGCATAAATACATGCCAGTTGTCAAGTGCCCAAATTTTGATCACATGACCAGGGGAATGGTACAACGATTGTAAATGTGAAGACCTGTCATAATTCACTTTTCCCAGTGCTGTTGTAACTTTGAACAGTCACTAAACAAATGATTGTTAGTTGAGGACTACTGTGTTTCCCCGAAAATAAGATCTGGTCTTTTTTTTTTTTTTTTTTTGCCCCAAAAAGAGGCACCAGATCTTATTTTGGGGGGGATGTCTTACCCGTTTACCTTAGGACTGCCACTACCAGGCCTCCCACCCCCGACACCTGTCGCACCGCTGCCCGAGTTCTTCTGCGGGCACTTGTGGCTGCTCATGGCTCGATGCCGCCGCTCGCAGCAGGAGGCCGCAAGCCACGTTGCGCCGGTGCCGTCGCTCGCGCGTGCTCTGACACAACACGCCACGCGGCCTCCTGTTTCTTGTCTGAACTTGAAGTTTGGTAAACATTTTCCAAAACTTTTTAAAAATAGAAAAGTCCAAAGAGTTCAATTATGAAGAATTCGAAGTTAAAGTGTCTTGACATAGACTTCTCAGTTTCACTTTGTAAACTATCAGTGCCTGAATGTTATGATGCTGTAGAGCAAAACCTTAATAAGACGCTTATTTTGTGGGGATGTGTCTAGAAATGCAAGGTTTAAGAGAGAATGTGTTAGAAAGATTTTGTAAGATTTGTAAATGGGGAACAAGAAAACACAGGTTTGTGGATGAACAGATGCAAGAATGGACAAGTTCTGTCTTCTTAACTTGGTTGTTTGAGAGGGAGAAGGTTAAGCCAGATCTCCTTAAAGTTAAAGCCAGCTTAGTCTAGTGGTTAAGGTGCTACACTAGGAGCAGGGAAATTTGAGTTCTGGTCTTGGGTTAGAATATTAAATTTAGTAGCTGGAACAGCAAAGTGTACAATAGGCCATTACACACAGTTGTAGTTGATTAGTTAGAGCAGGGGTAGGCAACCTTGGCTCTTTTATGACTCGTGGACTTCAACTCCCAGAATTCCTGAGCCAGCTATGCTGGCTCAGGAATTCTGGGAGTTGAAGTCCACGAGTCATAAAAGAGCCAAGGTTGCCTACCCCTGAGTTAGAGAGTGCTGACACATAGATGAGGCAATCTGTGCTGTGATTGGTTGCTGTGGGTGTAAAGGGGGAGTTTCCCTTTTTCCCGCTTTTTTCTTCTGTACACTTTGTATACCTCATAATGTCCCTGTATTCCTGACTATCTTGTTTGCTGTAAATATAAATGTTATATTTACAGCAAAAAATAAATACATTTATTTATGTAAAACTACAAGCTCGTCTCAGTGTCTCTGACTTTTTGTGGACAGCTGCTGTGCAATTCCATGACATCTTGCTTTAGGCATGAAACTAGCTTTGAGCCAGTCACTTTCTCTCAGTCATAGGAAGAAAGCAATGGCAAACCATTTCCAAAATGTGGTCAAGAAAACTGCAGGGACTTATTTAGGCAGTTGCCAGGAATCAAGACTGATGTGAATCCA